TTGATTCCATCACTTTGGATAGTACGGGAAGTAGTGTTATTGGACGGTATTTGGCAGGATCAGTGTGGCTAACTCCTTAATGGATAGGAGTGATGACCCCTCGCTTCCATACTGTTGGAATACGGTTCCCTTCCTGACATTGCTGATAAAAAACAGCCCGTGGTTCTGCTAGATCACTAGCTACCGCGTGCAGAGCATTTGGTCGGATGTTGTCGGCTCTGGGAGAACTGTGGATACGCAAGGATAACAAATTCATCAACACAGCTACCGCAGTGAAGTTGATGTTTTCTAAACTAGATGGTGGAGTATTAGAAATGAGGAGGATGTTTGGGTTCGTTACCTGCTGGAACGTTTGGGAGTAATGAAGCCGTAGGAGATCAGCTGCTTCCATTGCTGATCGCGTGCACCCATCAGCCGTCACTAGTGATGGCATCCACCGCTTCTCCTCTCAAAGGCCGTTAACGTGCCTGTACAATAGTTTGCGGTTCGTGCAGAATCGCTTCATTAACTTCTGCTGATGATTGACCTTGTCTTCGCTGATCAGGTGCACACAGAAATTACGATGTGTCACGTATGCAGTCCAGGTTTCGTCATTCGAGCTGTCCTGGTGATCTGGCCATGCAAAAGCTCTCCGGAACATACCTTTAGTTGTTCTGCTCCTCAGAAATGACTTATGCTTGTTTTGGGGTTGGAAGGACTACTGTTCCGATGCTTGCGCAACCAGTGCCAACGTCCTTGTAAAGGTTTCCCAGGCAACATCTGGGGGGCATTCGGTTATAAAAGACCAAGATGTATCCTTAACAAGCGTAGATAACACATTGTTGTGCTTGGCAGTATGCACTTTATCAACGTCATTTCCCGGGTACTCCGCGTAGCATATATAATCAAAGAGTAGGGTGACATGATCACTACGACCCAGTGGTGTGCTTTAACTATCCTGTCAACCATGAGTTCTTCGTTAGTTAGCCCGAGATCCAGTATCGACGGTTTGTTAGCAGTTCGAAATCTGGTGGGAGAGGTTACGTGGTTGTAAAGAGGGTGGCTGGCAATTAGCTATTACAAACAGGCTTTAAACAGCCTACCGTCGGTTGTTGGCGTTTTTATGTCGTGCACGTTAAAGTCTCCAGTGATAAGAATGTGGGTGTGGGACTTGTGCAAAGCAAGCTGAAAAACGTGATGCAGTTTGAGTCCATTTCCGAAGTTGAGTTTGGTGGGTGACAAATCACGGCTAGTAGACATGTGTCCTTGTTTCACAATTATAGGCGGCACCAAAGTGAATCAGGAGCTCGGATTTCCGGGTGATCGATAAGTTCACATCGGAGGTTTGTATTATGGAAAGGAATCACACCGCTACCCCTTTCGGTTCTATCGGTCCGAAGCAGCGACATACCGGGTAACTTGATCTCAGAATCGGTTATCTCAGGGTTTAACCATGTCTCTGTAATCATGACGAGGTACCGCGGTTGTGAGGCATGGAGTTCTCTAAGTTCGGCCAAGTTGCTTAGAAGGCCTTGAGCGTTTGTGTACATGCAAGATAGGGCTTTTGTTGTTAAGAGTGCGTTGACGGATGTCAACTTTGTGTTAGTTTTTAAGCCGGCCGTTAGGTGGCCGGCCATTAGTCGTTTTTTGGCTTATGTATTTCAGTCAAGTTTCATGGCATTGTTGAGCGTTCCTGAACAGACGTTTCACTCGTGTTATGCTTTGTCCTGTTGTGTGCCGTGGGCGCTGTTGTGTTGGTCTCTCCGCAGCACTGTGCAAATAGAGAATTCGTAGCGTTTGCAATTTCCATCAAATTGCTTCCGATTTTTAGTCGTTCGCCTGTTGCCTTTAGCCGGATCTCTGTTGGCAACCTAGCTCGCAACTTTAACCAGCTATCCAACAGAACTTGCTTCATTCCCTCGGAGTTTAGTATTACTTTCATTAGCACTGGACCGCAGCCCTTGTAGTTTGGTGTTGACGGAACTCTTGTCAGGGATTTGGCAATAACGTTTTAAACAGGGAGGGCTTCGCGGATGTAGCACCACTGCTCTCGGTTATGTGCTTGCGCATCGTGATCAGAAGAATGCAGGAGCTCGGGAACACCATGAACAAATATTATTTTATTGCTATCCTTATTAGGAATGCCGCGTTGCTCAACTGCTTCTTCTGGGCGATCTTTCCAAGGTAGATCAGGTTATATGCGCACTCGGTGAGTTGCGAAGACGAAATGCTGAGAGCAGGACAGCCTCTGTCTGATCTGCTGAGTCTATTGTTACTCGAAGAATTCGAGGTTCACCAGAAGGCACTGAGGTCAGGTGAAGCGCTACGCGTTACGGCATTGCAGGCTCAACCCAAATACCAATCGCCTCGCAGATGGAATTCCACTGATTGCGATCGTCTTGCAACTTGCCTTTTATTGTGCCAGATTTGGATTCGGGAACATTGGTGCATACGAGAGTTAACGCAGCGTGGTTTTGTCAAGCGAGTGTTGGTTTTATACTTTTTGCCGGCAATTCAGGTTGTTTAGAAGGTACCACTGCAGTTGACGGGTAAAGCTGCTTTGTGCCATGCGTGCTCGGTACTGAAGATTGACCTATGTGTGTCGCTCTCGGTGCGTTTGTCGAGGCAATCGATGCGTACGTTACCTGCTTGTTATCTGCACCGGATTGCTTTCTGTTCTGAGCTGTCGGTGTCATGGCTGAATCTCCAAGGGAAGCGTCTATGGTTGGAGAAGTGGAAGCAGGCATGTTTGAGGCTTGTCCACTTATGTGAGTAAGGTGACCTAGTGGATTTAGAGTCACAGACGCTGCATTGCCGTTGGACTGTCTAGCTCTCTTCTTTGGCGTATATTCGGAGCTTACTTTGGCTGGGTGAGGTATTATCGTGGCCATATTTACCTCCGTGGGATCGAGCATAGTATTTACAAAATGTGCGATTATCTCAGTCATCCTATCGCACTTTTTCATGAGCAAAGATAAACAGTTGACAACTGGAATGACCTGATATGTTGGGCAGAACCAAATTGTGTCAGCAACTTGGTTTGTCTGTCTCACTTCGTGGGCGGATTTGCCTGCACATTGTGGACAGTACGATCTAATGCAGCTAGAACAAGTAACACTGATCTTAGAGACTTTACTGAAATTGTCTGCACAACATAGGCCACGTTGAACCATTGGAATGCCAGTCGTCCTCCTATTTTTTACAGCAAAGCCCATCTAAGCGCTCACCTTGAGGAGTGTTCTTCGCGCCAGGCGTGACGCACGAATAGGTCAGAACACACACATGGACTGAGAGTTGTTCAACCGCACCAAGGTCAGGCGGTAGAGGCAGATGGAGATCGTGACGCGCAGACTGTCAGGTTTAGCGATCACTCGACTCGTAGTTGAACACGTACACCCACACAAAGCGGCAGCATGTGTTAATCGGCCTGCTTTAAGCCACGATGTAGTGGAGCGCTGATAAGCGTCCATAGAGCTGTTCAGATGATGATGAGCGGAGCAAAAAGGCTGTAACTTTGTTATGCTGCAACTTGCAGGGATGATTGCCGTGTAGTTTTGGAGCCCTCCGCTTCTTCTTCCGGAAAACCGGTTTGATGTAGTTACATAAGTAGAATTCGGCAAAGAAGATGCCGAAAACTGGGAACTGGAGCAAGAGTATAATCCATACAGGTTAGGTCCGAGAGTTGGGAAGCACTGAGTCGAGCTCGTCGAACTGGTTCGAACGAGCACGTGCACAATATTGTGTGGGGAGAATTAGACTGGTCACAGAGGGCAAAGTGAGAGCCGAGTTAAAGTGCGGCGGCCCGCCAAAAATTCGGAAGTATTTCAAGGTTGGTCTGTTGGTACCTTGAGAGAGCACACCGAAAGGATATGCATTCGTAATCACTGGACTCTAGATGCACCGTATGAAACTTGACTCACGAAGTCGAGGGACTTAGCGAAAACCAGATCTAAAGTAGATGGTATTTGGTTGTCCATATACTTAGTGGGGAAGACCACGAACTGGTGCAAAAGCACTTGGAGAGTCAGCTCAAGAAAGTCTGCACCGAATGTTCCTGACGCCGAATTACAAGAAAGATGGATCAAACGGACTTCCGGGATGTTGAAATCCCCTAGAACTGAACACTTATTCGCGGACTAAGTGCGAATAAAGTCAAGTATCCCTCTGGAGGAACTTCCAGGACTTCTGTATATCACTATAAGTATGAATTGGGTAGAGGGATTGCACAAAACAGCCGATAGGGCTTCAACAGTCTGACCCGACCACCAGAATGTGCAGATCCCCAACACGTCTAAGATACAGCTCACATACAGTACAACGCCTCCGCCTTGGCGACCAGCGGAGCGATCAGTTCTAAGCAGCGCGTAGCCAGGTAAAAATACCTAACCGTCCGTGATATCCGGAGACAACTACGTTTCG